ACCCCATGGCTTGAAGCCTRTGATTCACCTCTCTATCATTTATTGCTCTTTACTTAATTAGTGTTGAAGGCAATTATGAAATCTAGTCCTTGTCTAAATGTATGTGCCCCAACTTCCACAGAGCTGCCTGATTAACCAGGGTAAGACATTGWGGAAGACAAATGAGAGCTCAGGCAGGAGAGCAGCTCCAGATTTCCAACATAGGATGGATTTTACTCTGTCCAACAATCCACATGTATCTGTATCAGGTCCAGAAATCATCAAACCGCACCATCCAGTAAATCAAAATCCTTAACAAGACTCCTTGGTCTTCTGATTTGAGAACCAGCTTCAGCTGAACCGTCAATCTTTATCACAATCTTAATGTGCACATTTAGAGTGGAGCTCCTAACCCAGGTGATACCACGTTTTTTCTCAATAATGGTACCATTACCTGGGTTTCTACAMATTCCAAGGAACCATCAGAAATCTCTGTGTATGGCATCACTTTCAGTGTTTTTCTTTTCAGTTCCCACACACTGTATTTAAAYCACTGTCCTGATACTGGAGACAATGAGATTAATTTGAAATTATAGCACAGTTGCATAAACCAGCATTGTTATCATGCAGAGAATGAACCCAATGAAAACGGTGATACAACACACGTAGTTTGCTGAGGGTAAACTGCAGGAGAGAAGGGGTCCACAGCCACAGAGAGCTAAAATCACTGAACAAGTGCCCCACCGAAAACACAGGTTCCTGGAGTGAGTGGCTGAAGTCTCATGGCAATGTCCACATGCAGGGCAAAATGGATGAAGTTGAATTTGTCAGAACTGGGAGGTGGGTGGGCAGTGAAGGACAGAAGATAATTAGAAAAACAGTGATTGCACAGCAAAAGTACAACCCAAACCATTTCACTGGTTCACAAGRGAAATCCTGTTGGTTTTTTTCATTACTGAGAAAAATTAAAAACCTTCTTGGAGAAATGACATTCAATATACTGCCAGTTTGTACCTAAAATCTCCTGTATAACCAATCCCAATGGACTGTGAAAAACATTAGCTGAAGCAAGCACATACTGACATGGTGAAATTTAGATTATTGGGTTAACAAAAATTGTCTGTTCCCTTTCTCCCCCCATCCCCTCTTTGTAGCAAATAAAGGGAAGAAACATGAGAGATCGTAATCAAATCTGCTACCAGCTTTATATTTGCTATTGGTTTTAGGGGGGTGAGGGATTTGTTCTGCAGCTACAATCATGGTCAAAACATAAACTRTTCAGACAGATGAAGTGGCTTTTTYCCTCTGTTTTATAGYCATTGACATGGCTATATAGACTGCTTTTCTTAAAGATGTTGTGTATGGAAATTATATTCACCTCCTACAATGGTAGGAGGTATAATGTCTTTTAGTTTGCAGTCTCTATGTCCAGTACAGGATACTGTAGATGGCTCAGCTATAGCATGTTGAAATACACTGCTTCTTGCTCAGACTTAAAATAATTTCTATTTTTGCTGTTTCTATGAATATTAAATGAGAGAATGAGAAGACTACTTCATTTGGAAGGCTTATTTAATCTCCCTTGTCTTAATTTGCTTTGTTTACTGAATTACATTTCCATAAGAGAACAGTCTGTAGAACCACCTCCCCTGACTAAACGGTTCAAATGAGCTGTGAGTAAAACCATTTAGATGCAATTCACAACCATGTTTTATTAATAACAACTAAGAACATTACTGAGGCCCAGTATGGGCTGAATTTCACCAGGCTTTTATTATTGCATCTACATTATTGTCAGAATCTTTTCATATTGTGTATCTTAACAGAGCATTTCATAAATATGTAATCCCAGAACGTCATTAAAAGTTGTGTAAATAACTATTTCAAGGTTTWTAATTTAACTCTATAAAGAGGTGTTTACTTCTTTTAAGGCTGGCACCACGTTGCATTAATGATTTTTTTAACACAAGCCTGTATCCGAAATGCAACCTGTAGCCACAAAATTTCTACTTTCAAAGTGAACYRCTCCTTTTGGAAWRAAAATGTCAAGAACCCCTCACTCTTTATGTTCCTTATTGCTTTTCCAATGGAAAGGCAAACTAATATATATACTTCAATGAATATGTGCATATATAAAAATATAGAAATACACTAAGCAAAGAACCCTGAAAAGCTCTGACAGATTATTCCTTTTTCCTTCAGCCTGTGACACCTCACCGTTGCACACTTGCTTTCTGTGTACACCATAAATATGGTTTAACCAGATAAATGGAGCTGTCCAAGAAACCAGACCTCAAATTCAGGGRTGATTGAGCTCACTGCTCACCAGCCCCTGTAGGCAAACACACACATGTGACAAGAGTAACTACTTTGCCTGACAAACTCTCCTTGCTTGAAATAGGGTCAAAATTTTTATGCTGGAGCAAATCTTGAAGCATGAAGTTGCACTGTGTGTCCATGGGTTTTTTTCCTTTAGGCATAGCAGATGCAGCGCCACGTAATGCCACTTGTAATATAAACCAATAAAAACACCTCAGATGGGAAATGACTTGAAAATTATGAGAACTTTTTTTTTTGTATTTGCATGCAAAACTTTTGCTTGTTGCTGTTCAGATTTTTATATACCGGAGTATATTATTACACTCATATGCCTGAAGAAATATTTCATGGACACTTTACTTTCATTACTGAACATATACAATGTGSATCCCAAATGCCAGAGAAGAGTTAKCTCAYTRATGCTGAATCYAAAAATTTCTGGCATTAAAGTTATTTCTGTTTATTTTCCTYGAGAATGYRTTTTTCTCTCYTTGAACAGCCAGGGAGCAGGTACAGTACAGAAAATAAAAATTCTTCAAGTTAAGCTTCATGCTGGTGGAATTATTTTAAGGACCAAGACAGTAATGACTACTTCCTAAAAATTATTTCAATTAAACAGAAATACTAAAAGAAATTGCTCTCCTCTTCAACTAGACACTAGAATTTCAGTACAGTTGGCTACTAGTATGAACTGGAATAATGGAAAATAAAATTTTCAGATGATTGAGTAGTTCAGTGAATGTGATGGCTTTAAGACATTATAATGCCGAATTTTCTCTGTGTAAATATTGGCTCACAAACTGCATGCTCATTTTGAACCTATGAAGACCCTGAGGAGCAGTGAAGCCTAAAAAAGTTAATTCTATTACAAGAACAGCTGTTAATGGACCAGTCACTCACCAATTAAAACAACTGATCAAACCATCTTGTAGTGGGAGTATAATTTAAGATACTGAGTTCATAAAGATACAAAATCCTGTATTGGAAGATAAAAGAAGACACAAATGAAAGCTTGACTTTTTTTTTTTATTATTTATTTTTAATTGTTTCCCAGAATCACTTTTGTTGAAAACAGTAACTCACAAGTATTTCAAAGGGACTAGAATTCCACCCATTTTCCTGCTTCACTTCTGTATATTTGATTAGTAAGAAAAATTGCTTCCAGAGAGTGAACAAAGTAATTCATAAACAGGAAAAAGTAGTCTGAAACTCCATTAATAACCAACTTATTTTTATTAGAGCAAATACAGTTGTGAAAACTGTACATTGTACATTTTGGGTCAAGAATTATAAATAGAGAAACTCATAGATAAAGAGTTCATTCTTTGACAGCAAGAAACTTTAAATAGACAAAATGACATTTTTAAGTACATTGGCAGGCTTCATTGTGCTGTCCAAAATGTAGTGTACAGTATAACAACCAATTATAAATAGCCTTTCATGTAAAATACAGCTGTGCACGTTTTAGAAAAATACCAACAATTTGTTTGAGCTTTGTTTTAAAAAAGCTTATAAATCATACATATTTATAAATGGTACTAACATGCTTACTTAAATTTATAAACATTTTTCATAAGCTTTGTTACCCATTATTTCCAGAGCATAAAGTATTTTAAATAAACATTTAATAGGAATTAAATATGTCAGTTACAAAATTACCTCTCCACGTAAGGAGACAGGGGGTGATTTAACTGTGGGATGGAATATTTCATCCATTAATTCAAGGCTTACACAGTAACTTTTAAAATTTYGTTCTTATTTAAAAATTACTTTCCTAAATTTAAAACACAATTTAAACATTGTTTCTTTTTAAAAAATAAATATACAAGTTTTATTTTCATTTGCTCTCTTTCTGCTTTCTTCTTTATCCACACTGGTCAAAACACAGGATTCTCAACATACTTCTGTAAAAAACACCACGGTGTTACTGCCTTGCTCGGAGCTGCTTCGCTGCACGATATTCAGTCCATACCTACGGTAGTTTACTATGCTGCATCAAAAAATAGCTAATGTATTTTGTAAGAATGTTGCCCATTAAACCATGCAAAAACTTAGAAAGTTTACAAACAGGTTCAAAAACTATACTGTATGAAAGATTTTCTAAYAGAGATAAAATAAACCGTAATACAAGCCCTTTGCTTTTTGCAGCTTTAAATGAAAATGTTTGCTTGCCAAATGATCACACCACATATCTTCAATAAATAAGCATGCATTTGATTAATATAGGGTACAATAATTACAGTATAATGGCACATAAAAAGAAACATGATCACATTGTTTGAACAAAGGGCTAYGAAGCTACTTAAGACAAACTTTCCAAATGAAAAATTCTGAGGCTTTTTTAATGCTGAGGTAAAATTATAAATGGACTTTAAAGACACTGAAGGCATCAAATCAAGAAACAATCACTTAACATTTTAAAATGCTCTACCTGAATGTATTCAACACAAATCCAGCATTTWAAATTTATTGTTTATTATGAGCATTAGGTAGTTTAACTGTCATTGGCATTATTGTGCACCCAGACAAGACTTTAACTGCCATCAAAATACCTCAGTGTTGAAACATAATAATTCAAATCACCAATTACCACAGCACCAGAATTAAGAAAAAAAGAAAAAAAAGTCAACATGCAAACCCTGTATCTCACATTTTCTTGGCTTACTTTGATATTCTATCTCCTGTTTAGAATGTCCAATGTCCTTATACCAATGTAAGATYCTTATTTTTTTTATTGTGAAAAAATGTTGCTTGGTATTGGCGTAAGTATTTAAGCATTTTAAGGAAGATATCAGAATCTTTAAGTTTTGCAGTAATGGTATGTTATTTACTGAACCTTAATGCAAAATGACTCTTCAGGTTTAAGAAAATGAATTCCAGAATTTGTTCTTTGGATTAGGAAAATGTATTTGATTTTCTGCTTCTGCTGCTAGGCAGAACTGGTAGCTTTCTCCAGGTCGGACTAAACACTACTTATGGCTATACATCAAATTTCATAAACAACAAATGAACAGAATCATGCACAGGCAAATGAAATTCGATCTCCCAGAACACTGCAGGAGATGTTAAAAGCAGCAGGTAATGGAATAAGACTGGTGACTGATGTTGCTAACTATTTCTTCTAATGAGATAGGAGTGAACGCTGGAATCACTTCCACAGCAACAGAATCCTCTGACCACATTCCTCTGGCAGTCGTTTTCCCATCTCCCCACTAAAAACATCAGACGGTAAAATAGTAAGGCAGCTGTTAACTTCCATCAACAAAAAGTGCAGCTCCGTACATTTCCAGTTTAGTCACACTCTGCTGGAACAGATGGAGAAGCCAACGCACTTCACTGGCGGGGCTGCTTCAGCAGATTATTTTGTTTGTTTTCCAACATGGCTGCTTGCTTCAGCTTTCAGAGGACCCCAAAGCCACGAGCCACCAGCAGAGAAACTGATCTGGGCCCCTGGCTGAATTTTCCAAGTTTCATCTCTCTTGCGTCCCATCCTAATTCCAAGCCTCCTTCCCTGTGTYTGAGTATGACAGGTGCCATTTAAAAGGCTGATGACACAACTGCAGAGAACTGTGGGCTAACACCACTAGTTGTCATGACTTCACTGAAGGGTCAAAACAGTTACAATATTAAATAACTATGTTGAATCACATTCAGGCATAGCTAAAATTAAAGTGGGGAACATTAAAAGTATGTGAAGAAATTAAATATCATGTAAGGTGGGGTGGATAAGGTGATTTTATATGAAAACAAGACATTTCTTACCTTTCCTAATTCCAATCAAGTTAGAAAATGGACAAAAAGAATGGCTAAACCAATATTCAACAGCATTACCAGGGCGATCATGACTGAGTTAGGGCCCTGAAAATAAAATAAAGGTATCAGAATTAATGCAACCTCCCACACATGCACAACAGTGAACATGACCTGACTTACAATTTCTATAGTTTTTGACCTTGCTCTGAAGGAAACAGACCCTGCTCCTGAAACACARCTTCTTACCCTTGATATTCAGGTGAGATAAATATCATCTTTGTGAAAATGAGCTGGATAAATTCAAGTGGGAGTATATTGTTCCACTGTTCTTAATCACTCTGAAATTAAGCCACCTGACAAATATCACTGCATCAACAAACGAAAACAAACCTGTCAACACAATAACAATGTCAGCTTAAAATAAAGCAAAACAAAAAAAAAGTGAACTAATTCAGGGAAGCTATGGTGCTGCTCTTTATCCTTACACTGGGTTCCTTACACAATCCGAGTCCATTTCAAACCAGACCTAGGAAAGATGTTTTATACGAACAATACACATTTATGTGTATTTATTCCATCAAAGTGGAAAAAAAAATTACTTACCATTGCACTAACGTACCTGATTCCATTACAGAATAAAACCAATTTTACAGCTGCAAAATTAAACTTGTTTAGATTTAATCAGACACTTATCTTACAGAYCTATGTACTGAAGAAATGAAAAGCCACGTAACTCCTTCCATTCCTATCTASAGCTAAAATTGGTTAGAAAATTTAAATCATGACACAATTTTAGCATTTCTGTGAAACCAGAGAATAGTTTTAAATTCTTTTTAGTAATTTTGAATATTWAAAAAAAAATGGATGCTTTCTAATGATCAACTTGAAAAAATGTTGCAACAGACGAAAATTCTCAGTTATACTGCACCCTTAACATATTAGAACRTATTATTACATTWGTATACTCTTTTATTTTAGGGTTGYACTGWAAGCAGAAACAGAGAAMCTCTTCATTCAGACAATACTTTACTAAATCACAAATCATGAAGCCCACCAGAAAGTCTATGCAGAAAACTGTATTCTGAGCTACACAAGAATCACTGACTTGCATGARAAGGTAGATATTTCTTTAGAAATGGTACAGTGTTTTCATTCTTCACATGAGGCATGCCTTGCAGAAGTTCATTATACTTCATGACAACATAATGCTTAAATCAGCTATGTGATTTCTGGAATGCTAAGGTGTGAAAACTTGCTATTAGTAATTTGCTGCAACAAATAATTAACTGGGAAGCTATGGAATAGCTCTTAAGTCATTATTACATCACATGCTCTCCTGAAACAGTCTCATTAAACACTTTTTACCAGAACACACCTTTACACAATAGATGTGTAAAGATGGCAAGCCAGATGTGGGCTGCTAAGTTTTGAGCAAGTCAGAAAATATCTTATGTCAGGTACTGCTCAAATCTCTGGTGAGTCTAAAYCCCATCAGCACCTATGTCCATAACAGCCATCAAGTCCCCTTTGCACCAACTCAGAGGTGTCTGTTCACACGCTGARAACTAGGTGTTCAAGTTCAAACAACGACTGAGATTATCAAAATGCCACCGGGGTAATGGTGTTGGTAGTTGCACTCACATTTTGCTTAATGGCAGAATGTCTAAAGTATTCACAAGGAAATTGAAGACCAGGTTTAATGACACCTTAGCCAAAGTGATTTTGAATAACAAGCTCCCACTTATCAGTGGTATGTTTCAACCATCAGATGACAGAACTGAAGTAGTTCTTTCCTCCTAAGTGGAAGTGACTCACCATGTGCCAAAGCATAGAGACACTCAGGGGCAAAGAACAGGCATAAAGGGAAAGCACAGCTCCAGATACAGTCACATTCCTGACAGCATGGTACATACCACAGCATGGAAAGCAGCCTTGCTGTAGGACTGTGTAACGCAAAGTTAATACCTTCTTTTTCTTTCTGGCACGGTTAGAGTTATGCTAGGTTGGTACTTCTGTGATTTTCTACTGTGAAGGAAATTCAGATTCCTATCTGAATCCCCACCCAATGCATTTGGGAATTGTGAGATATATGCATGATAGACATGTTGGAAGATTTTGAGTAGTAAGACAAGTTTTACGTGAAACAAAAGGTACTCTGAAATCTCCGTTTTCAGTTCTTGGAAAGTCAGTGTCAACACCCTTGGGGGGAACCTTTCATTTAATGACTACTTCTTTTGCAAYAAAATTTCCCAGATCTCATGACAGACGTAATATTACAGAGCTCTCTAMAGGAAGTGTGATTTGATTGTACGCTTAACTTTCACTAAAACGTGGGTTCAATATMTTTTTTTTCTGGTGTTGAGCACTGGAACAAGTTGCCCAGAGAAGCTGTGGATGCCCCATCACTGGAAGTGTTGGATGCAGTTTTGAGCAACCTGGTCCAGTGGAAGGTGTCTCTGCCCATGGCACAGGGGKTGGAAGCAGATGGTCTTTAAATGTCCCTTCCAACCCMAACCATTTTATGGTTCCATCATCCTATGGTACCAATAGGGACTGCCCATGTGATTCAAATCAGGTCAATGGCTCCTTTACAGATTGGAATCCCACCTGAACATTTTGCAGTTATACTGCACCAGGAATTGCAAGGAACTGTGAAGATCATTGCCAAGTACCATTAAAATTCTTTGGGATCTGGCCATCTAGTACTTTATATATTTGAAAATGACATCCATGAAAATCACATTGATTTACTGCGATCAAAAAAATTTTGAACCTATGGTATCTTCACAGGAGCCAAGAATTCATTCATTACCTGAAATACATAATGGAACAGCATCCTGGTAGCTGCAGGACAGATTTTTGGAGACTGAAAAATTGGGACTGCAGCTCCAATGGCAGCTCGGTATCATTAGTGCACAGTCTCATGGAATTAAGCTTGTTGGGGGGGAGGGCACTCTCCTTTGATGCATCTGTCAGTCAGGTTAGGCATAACAACCTCACCAAAACATTAGATAAACCAGGCTAAAAATCCCAGGGGCTACAGTCTGAATCAAGAAGTCTCATCTACAAAGACAGAAGCAAGTGACACCTTAAYTGGGCTGTTGACTTTACATGAAGATTACAGAAAAATGTGTTATCTCTTTATGATGATGAGTCTTTGCTTTATACAAAGAAGCAAATCTCATRTTCTTTGGCCTGCTATGTGCAYTSTGTTTCACCTTCTGATAACTATACYGAAAGCAGGATTTCCTGAGAGACTAAAAATGATCAAACAACATTTCTGCACAGTTGTTATGCATTGAACTACCACCTCTGTTTTGCAGATACCTATGAAATAAGYATTTAATGCTTTAAGACAAATAACACAAGTAAGACTTTAAAGTCCTGCAAGGACTTAAAACAGCAAAAGCCAAAATTAGTTTGAACAGTCCAAGAGTGACTAGAACAGGTGCACTAAAGAAACTGTAGTTGAAAACCTTCAGTCCTGCTTAAATTCACCCTCTCAGTTTCTCCTAGGTTAGACCTTTATGTAGTTCAAAATATAACCATACAATTAGTTTCCATTTGGGGAAGAAAGAAAATTATTTTCCTAAAATGTAGTTCCAGGAAGTAARAAGACTAGTCTTTTCCATTGCATTAGGAATGTCCATTAAATTTAGTATAAAGTTCCTGCTCAGAGGTTTTATTTAGGACCAGGAAAATACTGATCTATCTTTCTAACATCATGGTATTCACAGCCCCTACTACATGGATGTTAAGTTAACAAAGAGATGAGAATTGAATGAAAAGATGGGAGCAGAAGCACTGGGTATCTTTCAGCAAAACAATGTGTTTAGATACAGGTAAAAACCAGGCTAAACACGGTGTGTTTAGAAATCTTTACCTGCTAAATGAAAAAAATTACAGTATGGTAAAACACRTGTGCCTGGGCTTGCACCTGTCCTAGGGCAGCACAAGGACACATATGAGAGGTAAAAAAGTGTATTCATGAATGTACACTATAACAGTGTTTTGTGAAATTCAATCCTATTTTTCACCCAAATCCAACACAATCTCCAATCAGCTCATATTCGAGGTGGGACAGCAGCATGCACAGTGAAACTGGGGCTAGAGGCTGCTAACAGCCACTTAGAAACAACAGGACTGGTTTGTGGTCAAGTGTCTCTGTGAACACTTCACACTGTGGTAAATATAGAGTAATGTGAAAGAGCATAGCTCTCTGTGAAAGAGGGGTGATTTATTGCTCATAAATGACAAGTAATGCCTGCAAACAGCTATTTCTGAGCAGCTGATGAACAGTGACTTTGTCATTGGGATTTATGCATGATTTCACCTTGATAAAACTATGACWTTCTTACAAGATTTGGAATTATTTCAAACTTTGATTTTTGAACATCAGAGAGTAAGTACACAGAGAAACACACCTATACGTGTGGTGTAAGAAGTATGTGTTGATATTTTTTTACGTATAATGACAGAAATGTGGAYATCTAGAGAATCAAAACTGTTCCTGTAACTAACTTACTGCACAGATCATACTCACAGATATTCTTAAGGATTCACAAAAAATATAAAACATGAATTTGATTATTCAAACAGCTGCTATAAACTTTGCTGCAAATAAAGTTGTTTAAAGGTCTTAGTCCAAATGAAAGTTGATGTTTCATTCAGGTATGTGTATCTAAACCTTTGATTTAGATACATGGAAGGAAGAATTGAAAATCTTCCCTTCTGTATCTGTGTTCTTAATGCATTATCACTGGAGACCTGGAAAAAGCGCAGCACAGTTTAATACGGCACTTCCAGATAATCCAACAGAAGTGYTCAATAAATGTTAATAGATTCATTTTTTGCCATCCAAACCCATGTTTTATCATTCTCCTTCTATGAGAGTGAAAGTTCTCTTCTGTTTCTATTCTTTAACAAATATSTTTTAGAACTTTTATAGATGATCTAAGGCAAACTTACTTTCAAAGCATAACAAAATCACTCGTCATAACGACTAAAAAGTAATTGCAGTTTATTACTAAAATAAAGTAATTCCCCAAAGCAATTCTAGAATTTGGAAGTCTCTCAACATTCAGAGGCATCTGGGATAAGAASTACATTAATTAGGACAAGGGAGAATGGATTTAAACTAGAAGAGAGTAGGTTTATATCAGATATTAGGAAGAAATTCTTCAGTGTGAGGCTATGAGCCACAGGAACAGATTGCCCAGAGGGGCTGTGGATGCCTTTTCCCTGAAAATGTTTAAGGCTGGACTATATGGGGCTCTGAGCAGCCTGGTCTAGTGGGAAGTGTCCCTGCCCATGGCAGGAGAGTTGGAACTAGATGATCTTTTAGGATCTGTTCCAACCCAAACTATTCTATGATTCCATGAATCTGGCTTCTCCTCAGTAACTGTGCCCTCTTAGCTTAGTCACTGGCTAATTCCAACACATCACTGAGCTCAGTCCAGGAGCACTGCAGAACAGGCTTCTGTTTTTCTGAAGCTGAAAGGTGAAAATAAAAATTTAAAGTCTTTAGACAATGTTAACAGTTCATTCTATACTGTTTCTCCCTCAGACTACTAGGCCACTAGGCTACTCTTTTTTTGCTTTATGCTAGCATTTTCWCTCATTTCACCATTTTAAAGAAATGAGCATGTAGGAAAACTATAGTCTACAAGGGCAAATCTATAGACAGATATAGAAGACATCTACATACATCTTCAAATACAGTTATATTAAAAATGAATTCCTAAAATCTACCTTCCTTCCATATTGAAATGCTGGTAATAATAATGCAATTAGGGTGCTCAAAATGAAGTAGAGGGATAGTTCCCAGACTATCTGCAATATTGGCAAACAAACAGTAGCTAATGCACAGTATCTCATCATTTTWAAATCTTTTGTGGTAAAAGGCTGCAGGTTCATGGTCCTTATCCTGATTATTCTACAAGGTCAATAAATTGCTGTTCAGTACCCTACTTGTTAAGATGAAGCCTCCCTCAGCTCCAAAATATTATCTGAAATGAAGAAAACATAAGGACTATTTCTAGTCACTTATTTTCACCAGAGTTGAACAAACAATTCTAATTCAGCTTAAAATTTGTCCATGCTCACTCAACATTTACAAGCCTGTCAGCTTTGTGTTACCCTACRTAGGAGTCATATCTGTGAGATTTGAAAGGTTAACGGGCTGATATCAGCTGTAATACAGATTTGGAGATTACAAAACCTCTGCGGACATCTACTTTGATCCACAAAAAACAGAATAAAAGCTTCCTGAAGAACTAGAGAATATCATCTTGACAAAATGCTCATTATTGAACTGTCCAGTGATGGCTCCAAAACCCTGGCATCTGAAAACTGACAGCACATTTAATTAAGATCATTAAAAGCAACTTAAAACAAGACTTTTATCTGAACCTTATCTGAATCTGTTGGATCTTCTTACACATTTGCTTGTTAGCCTGGAAAACTGTTTTATAAAGCATACCTACAGAAAGTGATTTAGTGTGTGGGGGTTTTGTACCTTGAATTTTTCCCTGTAAGGTATATTTTAATAATTCTCACAGCTCTTTGTGGGACCTCCCCTCAAGGCTTTTTTTTCATTTTAAATCCCTGATTTACAGACACTGGATTTATCCCGGAAGTGTTGCACCCGTGCCAAARGCAGACAAACACACTCCCATGTACTCTTGCTTAATCTTTTCTGTTGATAAATCTAAGGATTATATTAACATCTCTGAACAATAGCAGCAGAACTGAGAGCTCATGTTCAGCTGTCCCTCTTGCTCCTGATCCACCAGCCTTTTCCAGTTCTGATCCTGCATGGCCAGGCTCTATYAATTGTCTTTCATATACAATATTATATTTTGCTGTGCTAACCATAGATAATTATACTTGCAGCCTTCTTAGCAGCTGATTTGCAYCTGCTTGTATTTCTCCTCATTATTGACCAGTTTCCTGCCTCTTCTATGAACTTCATGGGCAATATTCTTATGTCCTCTTGTATGTCATTAATAAGAATGTGATTCAGAGTAACAAAATTAATGTAAGAATGCCTTCACCAGAATAGTATCAAATAACTGATAGTTTTCTAATGACTTTTTGAGAACCATCAGTCACTTTTAAAAAGTTCTTCTAATGTGACATTTAACCTTTGCATTACTCTGGTTTCCTCGTCAGACTACATGACCATGTAAAATCAAATTAAGTAACCTTTCTGACTGAGGATATGATTCTTCTCTCACACCTGAAGATGTCAAACTTTTTTGGCAAGACCAYTGACAATTCATGTTGGTTGGAAATTTCTCCCCCTCCTTATTTCTGAATTCTTTATTAATGAAGTCTGGTGCCAATTATTCAAGTGTTTTGCCTGCAATCAATACTAGGATATCTGGATCTCTTTAAAAGGGTCATTTTGTTTATCACATCAATAATGACACACGGCTTGTTTTGTAGAGTACTACCAAAAATGACTCAGAGAAACAATGCTTATAAAAGAGAAATATTATGACAGTTATSTAGACCTCTTCATTTGCTAAAGATTAATTTTAGGATCTAAAACAAATGCTTTCCTGAGTTTCTCTTGGCCCMAAAATCACAGAATCATCATCAGAGATTCTGAATTTCATACCCTGGCTTTTTCTTCTCACATGGAATAGGAATGCTACTAGTCATTACTCCTTTTCTGCMTAGCTGTTGATAATTTCATTATTTAAAAATAATAATGAAATTAAGATTCACCCTGATTTGAATGGGTAGTTTAAAAACACCATTTCCTGAAGAAGAGTAAAAATTTTCACATCACTGTAAAATGTAAGCATTGTTAGATGGACACATTTTAAAACAGTATGTACTTTAGTTCAAATTGCCTGTCTGTAGAGGCCACAACCAACGTGGAGAAGAAGTTGAAAATGGGAGGTTGTTTGGACTGGGTCAGACCACAGGCCAGAATCCTGTCTCCAASAGCAGTCAAAAGTAGACCTCTGGTGAAGACTGTGTGTGGCTAACTTCCAGTACTGCCCAATTATCTACAATTAGAAGTACAATACTGTGGGACAATTTTTTTTGGATGGGAATATATATAACTGCAAGTATGTATATACAYACATGCAAACCACACCTATTTATAAATACGTTACACACCTTAATACACACACTTTTGTGTTTATGGATGCAATAGGATCTCTCGGTTAAGAAATCTGTCAGTGTCTGGCTATCAGCTGTCCCTTCCCAAAAAAGACAATATGAAGGACTGGAATATTCCTTCCTCATTCCAGYCTGGTGTAGTGAGTTTAAGCTAGCAGACTGTATCCAGATGAAGATTTGACAGAAGTGAGCTTTGCCTGTGCTTAGGTTGCAAAACTCAGCACTCGGGGGCAAAAGGGCAGTGAAAATGAAAAGGTTTCTTGCAGTACTTACCGAGCTGTTTCCTACTTCCTTTTCCATCGCTGAATGTGACTCATTATTAGCTGGATTCTTTGGTGCAGCAAATTCTGATTTCTTAATTTTTGTGTCAGGTTTGTTTTCTTTGGCATCTGGCTTACCCCCAGATCTAGCAGGACTTGGCTTCTGAGAGGGTGGTATCCGTGCAAGTGTGGATGCTGAGGGGTTGGCATATTCATCTTCTTCCCTGAGCTCCTGTGGAAGCACTGTTGGATTCATTTTTACATAATAACCATGATAGTGACCATGCAGCTCCCCATTCTCTGTGCTGCTGGGATTGTGCTGGGCTGAAAACTTTGGCTGGTGTTTCCCAGCTACTTCCTCCTTCACTGGTGCTTTTGAATATAAAGGCTTGTTAGTCGTGGGTGTTATATTCTCAGTGGCTAAAAGCTTTTTTTCTTGACTGAGTCTTGCCCCAGAAGAGGAGCTTTGCCTTTTCAGTTGGTTTGAAGGAGAAGTCTCAGAAGAAAGAGAAGGACTATGCCTTGGACTTGCTTCTGGGGTTCGAGGAGGTGTAGTACCTTTTCGATAAAAGTGAGGTGACTCTTTTGGGGAAGGTGGTTTCTCCTGACCTTTTTCTTCAGACTTTTCTTTTCCATCCATTCCTTCTTGAAATTTTTGTTTGATATAATCAGGGCCTGAAAAAGAGTGTAATAGAAATGTGAAGATGAAAACAAAATTCACARTAAAACCATTGCACTGGGATGTCAGACTGCACTGCCTTGCTAAAATGCTGGCAGGGTATATGTTACTAACAATTCACTGACATCCACAGTGATTTACTCCAAATTGTTCAGTCACTGGAGTTACTGCAGTTTCCTGGTAATTGTTGGGCTACTTATTAACTTGGSTCAGTCACTCTACATCTTCAGCTTTGCAAAGGGCCACAGGATGTAAATTGCTCCTGAATGAAGTCTGAGTGACTGAAGACTGACTAACCTTGCATTATCTATCACTCCTTTTCTGACAGGCATGCTTTGAGGTATGTTTTGCTTAATTATCCTAATCGATTTAACTTCTCATGATCAGAATACCTGTTTGATATAGAAGTAATTAACTAGCAGAATAAAATGTCTCTTTTGTTCTTATAAGCTACAGGTAGAAGGGCTCGAATTGCTTTTTTCTCCCTTTGGGTGAATGTCAGCTTGTCTTATATACACATGTATGTGCCTTGAACTCTCCCCTGCTGGCTTTGTCTTCCAGATCCAACCACTCCCCTATGAAGATCCAGGTGAACCACTCTAGTAAATAATACAATTCCTATTCAGAAGGCAGGAATACAAATTCTCTTACAATCACTAGGACAATACTTACAGAGCAGCAAGTGTGAAGAACATCCTCTCCCCCAATTCTAGTGAGACACACACGCACACATTCACTGCTAGGACTCGCTTATCAAAGTGCATTTCTATACAGCTGTTAACATAAACACAAGCTGGCTGACATATTCTGCTCCAAGTTTTGGTTGAGACTTAAYTGTTTAACAGTAAGACAAAGGTACGAAAACACTACTGAAGAAACAAATTGCTGTAAATCTCTATGTATTTGAGGCAGTGTTTTCTGTTTTACTTGCTAGAGGTCAAAGCCCAGATTCCAGGGTCAGTTTCTCTAAGAAGTCAGAAGCTGAGGAGCTCTGTGAACAAAGAACTGCCAACAACCTTTCTATATTTTCAAAAATGTCTTCTGAAAAATACATTGCATATAYTTCTTCATTTCCATCCTTGCTAGCACAACTTCCCTTTGATTTTTTTACTCTTCTCCAAGTGAGGCTTATCTGTGCTTTCTGTCAGAGAGAAATTCTGTGCCCAGAGAAGAATGTCTGCACATATTTTTCTGCTTTTGAGTTTAAAAGGGGCTGTAACTGTGCTGGGCAGATACAGTGTTTTTACAGATGCCAGAAGCATATGCATCACTACGCAGTGCGAAGATGAGAGGAAGGAAGAGCAGCATGAAGCTTTTGGAAGTTACTGAGTCATCTGGTAAGTAAGCATTGCTGAGAAGAATTACTCGGCATGCAAGGTCTTTTCAGCAGGAAAATCACAACATTTTTGGCATCTCTGAAAACCAGGGGTGGAAACAGGGAGCTGTTAAGAAAGAAGGCTAGACGTAGACAAGTCAGGATTTGTTCTCAAATGACATTTGAGGAGGAAGTTTTGAGGAGTTAAGCTGCAGAGGGAGAGAGCTAGAGGCTTGATTYGCAGCTTTTTATAATCTTCCTGGTAAAAGGGAAAGGCAGTAYAACACAAATTAAGAGTTTCCATATATAAAGTTACAGGTATGATCGCCACTCAAAAAATTCTCTGTCGTGTCGGGGATTTCCGTCCATCTTTGCTGAGATACATAAGGTAATACTGAGGGGTTTAACATGCATAAACTTTATTTTTCGTATCTTTTCACATTAGATATAATTAGGGGTGTAAAGAGAAAAGGATAGCTAAAAGAGCTCTGACTAATCTTTAAGCCCAAGCCACGGAGCTGTCAAATTGCAATGATTATTTATTATGGACAGATCCACATTCACATTAGCTTGCTCTTTATGACTGCTGTGGTCAAAGCATTCAACTGGAATACTATCTCTTCAGTTTTACAATGCTGCTTAAATGGCACCTSATCTGCTCCTGAAAATTCACACACTGTGACAATTTTGCACTGCCTCACATATGTAAAGATTTGACTTTTACTAATATCTGACAGCACTTGACAAAYTGAAGACATTCCCACAAGGAAAACAGCAGAAAATGACATCAGAAATGACCTCAGAAATGTCATCCGTCTCCACCCTTTCCTATGATCAACTAAAAGTCTCCCAAAGTTGGCAACAGAAAAYCCCCTCTATTTAGTAACCTCCAAACTGTGTCTGAATTTCTGAAAGAATATGGGAGTCCATGTCTCCCCAGGAGACTGGTAGAATAAAAAATAAAAAACTTGAAGCAAAAATAAAACGAAAAATTTTCTTTTYACTTAAACAAAAATAATCTGGAGCTTCCCAAAGAAGTTAAGTTTCAACAGGCTAACAATGCCTGTTAATGCAATGTTTTYACAGGGTATTTGGCAATGTTTGATGCTACGTGACACTGAGCTCCACCAGAAAATGCAGCATCYAAGTAACATCTGAGGGTTTCTCACCAGACATTCAGCCATTGCCTTAACACAGCACAGCAGCCTTCCCTGCCACCCCCAGTACATCACATATGGGTATTAGAGACACATCCCTTGCCTCCAGTCTTGTCAGGCAAATCTTTCCAACACTGAAATTCTTGGCTCTGTGCTGAAGTTAGCTTTGGAGATTGTCCAAATACTTTTTAAGCGTCTGTTCACTGTATCCAATACAATCAGATTATGCACCTGTCCAAACCACTGACTCCAAGCAGCAAGAACTCAGTTCCCAYTCTGTTCTGAGGACTAAGAGCTCTCAGATTTACCTTGTCCCCTTTATTAGAGATATCTAACACTACAGACCTGGGTAAGAGAGTTCTCTTCTTCATAAGAGCAATCTACAGCACAAGTTTAAAGAAACAAAGGCCAAAGGAATTTGGAAAGAGAGTCAGTAACATCTTYCCTATAACATTTCTTAGCTGGCTGATCTTAATGTGGAAGAGAACASAATTTCAGGGTGGGAAGAAGGTAAAATGGGATTATCTGACTAGGAAACAAACACAGAGCTCTAATTCTTCAGTTTGCAGCTCAAGCAATCAGAAGATCTAAACCAAGACATGATACATCTGAATGCCTAAGGAGAATCTGGTCTGCAAAGCAGAATCAGGAAATGTTATCTAACCAAGTGAAGAGAAGATGAACATGTGTGTTTTCTTATGGTGACATGCTGGCTGTGCTACCATTGGATCAAAACTGATGCACCTTTACTTGCTAAAGGTCAGCCACGGGGTGGTTTAGGCTCATCTGCTCAGGCTGTGATGCCAGCAACTGGATGGCACCACTGAAGTGCGAGTTAGCCAGTATTCAGAGGGAATAGCCTCTGAAAGCAAAAGGAGTGTGTGGATGTGTGCAAGGTATGCACACAGAGTCTCACACAGTCTACTGATGGTCTGCTTGAGCAGCATTTCATTGATGGCTGTGGGGTTGAGGGAAGCTTTGGTTTAGTTCGAGGCACACCATGGTTATTCTAAATCTAGAATTTCTTGTGAAGTTCTTGTGTAATATGTCCTTCCTCCTGGAAGGGCTCCAGTAAGCGATGTGACAGCATGGCCAGCCCTGTAAATGAGAAGAGAAGGATGTCCTAGTTCTGCCACAGCATTTTTGAAGAGGTGACAGCCACATGCTTTCCCCCATGGCCCAGTGAAGCRCACACATTGGCAGCACAGGGCTGTTGCAGGACTGTGGCTCAAGGAGCATCTGAAAATGTCATCCTGCAGGACACTTTAAATGCAGCCACTGCTTCCCAAGAAGGCTAAGAAGAGACCTTGTGCCTCATCAGATCAGAATGAAATCTGACGCTCGAGAGGGATGGCAGAATACATCTAGGATAGTGAGGGAAAAGGCATACATGCAACTTCATCAACAATTTTATAAACATCTTATAATTTTTTTCATGATTCCTCTACTGCTCTTTCATGCTCAATCTTACAATTCAGGAAAAGAATGCATTTCATATTACAATTTTATTAAGTCTATTGAAAGCAAAAAAAGATTGTAATGCCACTAATGCAAGCTGCAGAATATAATCTATTAAGAATGTAATATTTAAAGTATTGTTGATGCTGAGTGATGTGATTCAATTTCAAGGTATATTAGAAGTATTTATTAGATAAACATACGCTTATTTCTGCTTTTTAAACTGAAGTATATGTTGTATGATGTAACTTAACTTTAGTGCTACATAGTGAGTTAACAAATAGGGCTATAAAGAGTAACCCAAATAAGAAACAACTTTGGAATTTCATAATTRTAAGAAAATTKATRTTGTGCTTATAGATAAATTCTGAATGTGAAGAACAGACTTCCTAATTTTGTTTACATACATGAGCTGTTAGTGGAAGGATGCTCCATTTTCACTGTAATGTTTAACAACTGTCTGTGGGGTAATGGTGACACAATCAAAGTTACTTCTTCAATCAGAACACTGCAGTCTGTGTGCAAACCTTCCAAGATTAGAGGTCCTTTTTTATTAAAGTACTGAACACTTCTACAAAAACAGGAGAGAATTTCTGATCTGAAAAGTTCACAGTCTGTAAGCACACTCAAGGTTATCCCAACAGCTCATTTTAGTGATGGAGAAGCTAACCCAAAAGGAAATCACGACCCAAAGCACATGTTTCATCTGAATAATCTTTCTGAATTTAGTGCTCAACTGTCAATAAAGTACCGATATGCTCAAAGCTTTGCCAAATCTTTGGCAAATCGAAAGATGCAGAGAAAGCCTTTGTCAAAATTAGGAGTAAGTCTCCCAAGTAATCAAAACCCGACACAGCATTTTGGCCACAAGTTTGTCCCCTACCATAAATGTCATCTTGCTGAAAAAGCTGAGAACTGATCTACTAAATCAGAATTCAAAGAGAGAAGGAAATAGTAAAGGATGGATAAGTTTCTTACTGCAGATTATAACCTAATACAAATCSAGAGCATGATACGGTTGAAGACAGAGCTTAAGTCTTTCATATTCAAATTAACTCCACTTAAA